ACAGACTATCTGAACTGGAGGGCAGATTTGTAATACGGGAGAATGAAATGAAAAACTTCTTAAAAATAACAAAGAAACAAACAGCAATAATACAAAGACAAGAAGATGATAAGAGGATCCATAACTTAAGGATTAAGAACATAAAAGAAGGGCTGGGGATTTAGCTCAGCAGCATAAGCGTCTGCCTTGCAAGCAGGCAGTTGTGAGTTCGATCCCTGGTCCCGATAAAAAGGAAAAAGACAAAAAAAAAAAAGAACATAAAAGAAGAAGGAGGGACACAAACAAATGAACTACAAAAGCTACTCACAGAAATAATCCAGGAGAATTTTCCTAATTTAGCAAAAGGTAAAGATACTCAGATGTATGAGGCATACAGGACCCCAGCTACCTACAACCCAAACAGAGCAACACCCAGGCATATAATAATAAAAATTCCAGAAATTCAATACAAGAACAGAATATTAAAAGCTGTCAAGAGACAAGAAACAGACCACTTACAAGGGAACACCCATCAGAATTACAGCAGACTTCTCGGCACAAACCATCAAATCACAAAGAGCGTGGGGGGAAATAATTCAAGCTTTGAAAGATAATAATCTCCAGCCAAGATTGAGATATCCTGCACAACTGTCCCTGGAAATTGATGGAAAAACAAGGTGCTTCCAGGATAAAGAGGAACTGGGGGAATTTGCAACCACCAATTCAACTCTACAGAGAGTATTGCAGGATATTCTAAAAAAAAAGAAAAATACAAAGAATCCAGAAATAGTGGCGGGGAGGCCACAATGAATGGAGCAGAGAACAAAATGAAGAAGACAAACTGACAGCTAATGACAGAAAAAGAGCTCAACAGAAACGAGGCAGAGAAGATTGGATGATAGGAACAGCTATTTTGGAGAAAATGACATCTTAATTGGTAATACTGATTTAGTATCATCTTGTTTTGAAGTCTCATCAAGCTTTTGTTCTTCTGTCTCCATTGGTCTAAATAGGTTGTATCTTATTGGATTGTATTATGTACGATAGTATAAGCAAAAACCTTTTAAAAACAAGGAGATTATACAGAAACCATTGTTCATTTTCTGTTAGTCGATTCTAAATACTCTATAATGCTGTCATTCTCTTAAATGGTTTTACATTGTTTTGATATATTTAATGCTACAGTATACGAAGTTGTACTCAAGGATTTCAAGGAAAGAGACAATATGGTAACTACTTTTATGTCAGGATTATCTGGTGGTGAAACACTATTCTGCTTAAATGGTTATGTTTTGATCTGTGCTGTTTTGCGGTTATGCCCTCTTTTATCTCAATCTCCACTCCATTATTTACTTTTTTATTTTTATCCTTTTAATTAAGGGAAAAATAAATAAAAATAGCAGGATATATTATAGTAACCCACTTTGACTTTCCATTAACCCGATTTAAAGCCCTGTATTACTCTCACCATCTTGTTTTTGACTGATGTTCCCCTATTCTGTTTTGCTGGATAGTATCAGGTTCGAAAGTTTAGGCATCAGCTGTGAAGATAATGAGATTCATTATGACGCCCATTCTCGTTGACTTTTATCTACTTTTGAAGACCTACAATGTCTCCAATGTTTTGGTTTTGTCGGTTTTGTTCTTTACTGTTTTGTTCAATTTTATTATAACTAATGATACAGGCAATTCTTTTAGAGATAGCGGGAGGCATTATGGTAACCATTGCTGATCACCTTGTATTATATTTTTACATTATCTATTATGTCCACCCTTTTGAGTGGACCGATTCTGTTCTGTTATGTCACATTTGGTTTTACTCTCTTCCAAAAAAGTAATAAGAACCGTGGGAGCAATGAAACCCAAAATGTGTAATAGTCATTGTACAAAAGAGAGGAAAAGAAAGTGCTCTAAACTATATAACTGCATGTATATTTAAGTGTATAAGATAGAAAATGATATCACAGAGTTTTATTGGATCATTGAACAGAACTGTTTGCAGTATCATTGTTGGAATGTCCACTTTACAAGCTTTAATTTTGTGACTTGAACAATTATTTCTAAGATGACAATATGTAATCCATTAACTAGTGATTTCCTACCGTTTATTTTTTTTTCTGTAAATCTGTATAACTTGTACCCTTTCTCTGCTTTTTTTTCCTCCTTAAATAAAATTTAAAAAAAAAGAACTAAATATTAAAACAAACACTACATCTGCTGGAAAACAAAGTAGATAAAAATCTTGAAGACATAGGGGTAGGCAGAGAATTCATGAACAAAAGTCAAACTGTACAGGAAATACTTCCCAGAATTAGCAACTGGGATCTTATTTTATTAAAAAGTTTTTGCATGTCAAAAGAAATCACCAGCCGGGCGTGGTGGCTCATGCCTGTAATCCCAGCACTCGGGAGGCTAAGGAAGGAGGATTGTTGCAAGTGTGAGACCAGCCTACACTACAAAGTGAGCTCAAGGCGAGCCTGAACTGCAGAGAGAGACCCTGTCTCAAAAAGACCAAAAACAAAACAAAAAAAATCACCGAAAGAGTGAAAAGAAAATGCATGAATTGGGGAAAAAAAATCTTGGTTAACTGTCTGTCACACAAAAGACTTCTTGCTAGAAGATATAAAAAAATCAGATCCCCGAAACTCAAAGACCCAATCCAAAAATGGGTATCTGAGATGAATATACACTTCTCAGCTGAAGAAATACAAATGACAAATAAATACATGAAAAAATATTCAGCATCATTGGTCATTAGAGAAATGCAAATTAAAACAACACTGAGATTTCATCTCATTTCAGAAAGAGTGACCAAGATCAAGAAAACCACCAATAACAAATGCTGGAGAGGCTATGGTAAAATTGAACTCTTTTGCACTGTTGGTGGAAGTGTAGACTGGTACAATCACTGTGGAAATCAGTCTGGAGGTTACTCAAAAAGCTGGGATTAGAGGTCCGATTTGATCCATCTATCCCGCTTCTGGGCATATAACCATAAGTATTGAAAACATCATACTATAGTGATATATATGCACCCATGTTTATAGCAGCACAATTTGTAATAGCCAAATCTGCCCATGAACCCAAGGAATGGATAAAAAGATGTGATACTTTTATACAATGGAGTACTACTCAGCTATAAAGAAGGGCCACATTGAGGCTTTTATAGATACATGGTTGTGATTTGAGACCAGACTCAAAAATGAAATAAATCAAACTCTCATGTATAAATACCGTGTTGTCTCCTTGGTGTAAGAAACTGAAAGAGTAAATAAGATACAAAATCTTCAATAAATATTATGAAAGGGTAAGAAACTACACAAAGGGGAAAAATAACTCAGGGAAAAAGAGAAAAGAAGGAAGGGAAAAGAAAAAAAGATACAAATTTGTATATATACACTTAAGATAGCTAAGATGATTGTACTACTAACTCTGTTAGTTCTTGAAACAAGACAGGTAATATTCATAGGATTAGATCAACTTTGGATGTCTATATCTGGTAATCTGAGCAACTCTTTTGAAGATAACTATGCAAAATAATCACCTTTGTTATGTGTCTACCACCTTGTTTTGAAAGCCTACATTGTTAATTGTTTGGGTTTTCTATTATTATTATTTGTCTCTTTAGTTTTTTCTTGTTTTTTTTTTTCGTTTTTTTCTTCTAATACAGAAAGGATAGATATACATGTATAAGATTATACATGCCTAGAATTTTTCCTGGAGTTTATAAAAATCAATTTTATCATGTGTGATATGAATAGCTAGTCTGAAGAAAATGTGACATTATGGTAGCCACTGCTGATTTCCAATCATCTTGTTTTGAAGTCCTATAATGCTTGTATTCATTGTTTTGATCAGTTCTAGTCTGTTTTCTATTATTTGATTTCAATATATGTAAGGGTATGGACAGTTATTTTGAAGAGAACAAGAGACATTATGGTACTATTATTGATTTTTTACTGTCTGCTTCTGAAGGCTTATAATGTTTTCATCCTTTCGTTTGATTGGATTTATATTATATTGCTTTGTTTGAATTTATTGTGTGAGAAGATATGGACAACTATTTTGAAGAAAACAAGAGACATTATGGTTGCCACTGTTAATTTCCTGTTGTCTTGTTTTGAACTCTTGTGTTGTTTATATTGTTCTGTTCTGATCTGCTTTGTTCTGTTGTTTTACTCTTTTAAAAAAAAACTGAGTTAGTAATTTTAAAAAAGATTATCTGTCCTAAAACCATTAAAACAGACAAAAGTTTTCTAATATATCATGAGTCTCAAAAGTAAGCAGTGTTATATATTCATATATACACATATTTTTACTATATTTCAGTCATTTTTGTCAACATTACCAGTACGATCTACTATTAGGAATTATTCAAAATGAATATTTATTGCTGCCCTGGCAAAATAAGTTCCACACTCATACCTACACCACCTCCTGTATACCAGGTTCTCTACACGGTATGTGCTCAAGGTCACACCAGTCACCCTGACAAGGCAGACTGGACCCATGTTTCAGACAAAGACACTGACACACTGAGGCCAGCAATGTCCCCCCCCCCAATCCAGGTGGCCAAGAAATCAGGTGGTCAAGCAAGATTCTAGTGAAAGCAACCTGGCTGTACTGCACCCTTCAGCAGTTATCTTAGCCAGCCTCTCAAAAGAAATGCTTGGGAAGATCAAGTCCCATCAGAATTTTATACCCCACCTCATTCTAGTGATTGAACTAAAGCAATTTTCATTAAGTTACACCCCCAAACCTTTTTAGACAGTCTTGCTAAACTTCTAGGTTTCCAGTCTAGACTTGAACTCAATGATCTTTCTGCCTCAGCTTCCCAAAGTGTTAGGATTATAGCTGTGTGCTGGCAACCTGGCAAGAACACCAGCTTTAACAAATCAAAAGAACAACTCAGATTCACTGTATCCAGGATTTTACTGTGTGTTCATCAAAGCTGCTCTTGGTCAACTGGACAAATTATATATTATATCTGACATTTAGAAGAAAAAGGCTGTGCTTCTTACCTCAATGTCAAATATTTCCACTGTATTGTCCAGAAGCTTCACTCTGACATGCATGTGTTTCTCCTGCATTTTAGGTGACAGCATTTGCCCTGGTTCAAGGGTGCTCACGCCTATGGGGGTCTGGGCGCCCAAGCGTGTCCCTGCTGTCTGCAGGACCCTGTATGTTCCTTCTATCTCCCCCATTCTTCACAGATTAACAGCGAAGAAAACCCTAAAATAAAACAAAAACACATCAAAGAATTACCACCTTATTTAGATGTTAAAACAATATAAAAAAAATCACAGGGTACACAGGACCCATTGTATCATTTTTACAACTTCTGTAAGTCTTAAATTACATCCAAATAAAGAGTTTAAAAAGATTACACAAACACAGGTGAACTGTGGAGCCCCAGTAACATTTCCTGGATGCTCTGGGCCAGCATCCATGTTAATGCCTCAGTCCTTCTAAGACCTTGTTAATGAGCAAGTGACCGACATTCAGCTTGCAGGGAGGAGACAGCCCTCATGCAATCCTCCCTGGACTGTCCCATCCCTGTGCCAACAGTCCTATGTTCTGGGCAGCATCACTGCTAGCAACAATGACAAGTACCATGAGGCACGGCCTCAGCAAGTGTCAGGCAGTATCTGGCCTGGTCTGAGGCAGTTGTACATACGTGTTTCACCTCTGCTGCATGTGTGGAGGAGATAGCTACTTGGGTAGGGAAGATACCAAGAAAGGTACATGGAGACAGTCTGGTTTGTCTTTGTATTTCTTAGTTTTTCTAATTTGCCCCTCATTGACCTGGATGGGTACCATTGCTAGCCAGTAATTTTAGGTATGGCACCTTGGATATTTCCTTATAACAGAAACTTGGTCAGGAATGCTTGGCCCAGGCTGTGCCCTTCCAGTTCCTGCCCAACCCCAAACTCACAGTAACCTCTTCACCCCTGGCCCAAGTAATAGATGACACTGAAGGATGAAAAGGCGGGGAAAGGTGTGTCTTTTTTAATCCTTGTTGCACCAAAGGAAAGATCTCTATTTATAAGCTATTCATTGTTTTAATAAGTATCAGGCTCTCAGTTAGACTCTTCTAAAAGTGGCTTGTTCTTTATTGTATTTATTAATATAGTTATCTATTATTTATGACAATTTTCCCTTTTCTGCCAGTATCAGGGATTGAACCCAAGGAGTTCTAAGCTACAGCCTTCCCCACTGCTTCTTCTTCCTTCTTCTGAGCCAGATCTTGCTAAGTTGCCCAGACTGGCCTTGAACTTACGCTCAACCTGCATCAGCCTCCCATACCGCAAGGCTTACAGATACATACCACCATGCCCAGCTCAATTTTCCTTCTCAAATATGTTATTAAGTCTGAAAATCAATTTAAAGGAAAATACGTTAACAGTAAAACATAGTATAGCAAAGGATATGTCAAAAATAGTGGAAGTGAGGACACAAATGCCAGATATATAATCAATAAATAATGCAGGGTTGTAACACATATAGGTGCAGTGGCACACACCTGTAATCCCAGCTGTTCCGGAAGCTGAGGCTGAAAAATCATAACTTGGAAATCAGCCTGGAAAAGTTTGTGAGACATTGTCTCAAAACAAAAAAAGCTGTGCATGTGGCTCAGTGGTAGAGCCTGGCATGCACAGGACCAACCTGGCATGCACAGGACACTGCATTCATCTCCTGCCTTGAAGAAAAAGAATTATTTCAGTAAATTCCCACTCAGTTCCCTTTGTACCTGCTGGTCTCCAGGACCTCTCATTTTTTTTTCACACATATTTTAATGTCAAGATAAATCAAAATCAAGGACTTTTCTGTAGCTTATATGAAGCTTCATAACTCACTACAACTGTGGAAAACGGTAAACTCTGTCTTTTCTATCAAGCAGGATTGTCTCTATCTTGGGATCTTGCTCACCTTGAGAGGTCCCTCCTGACCACACTGGTCACAAAGTTGCCTGTTCAGTTCAAACCATGGAAATACAGCTATAAACCAAAGATAGCTTATCAAGAGCCAAGGACTTTATGTTCTCTACATCCCCCCTGTGTTTCGCAGCCTCCTCCTTAGTAAACCCTTTTGGTTCCTCTTGCACTGAGTTAGCAAACTGGGGCAGATTGTGCACCTTCCACCCAGTCACTGAGGAAGAAATCAGTTCTCCTGCATTAGGGATAAAAGAATCCACCCTCCTTTGCTCTGCAAGCGCCCACAGCTCCATGCACCCTTCTGCAGAAGTAAAGTTCTGCCCTGTCAAGTCCTCTTGCTTGTTATCTGAGTGCATATTTTCCAGCACCAACAATTAAGAGTCTGGGGGCCTATTTCTGACATGGCGAACTTTTATTGCATACTTACAACGCAGTTTCACAAAGACGCCCTGTTCAACCCATCTGGGTGAGCTCAGCCACATACAGCTATTAAATAAGGAAGTAGAAAGCCAGAAAGCTAAAATCCCTAGAGAAAGCAAACTGAGCAACAGAGGCAAAATGACAAGGTGGTACATCATTCTGTCCAGTGTATCTCCTGCCCTGACTTCTGCACAAGCCAGTGCAACCTTCCCCACATGATGAGGCTCAAATGGCTGCCTCTGAGCTACCAGGGACAGGCGACAGACCTCGCAACACAGGGGCAAAGACTGACCACAGCAGAATGCCACTTTATAAAGTTAGTTTACACATCACTAACATTAACAGGAGGCATACACATTTTGGAAACCATAAACAGGAGCCTTTTTATTTTAATTTCACAAACTTTTACTTATGGAATAGTTAATGCAAAAGAAATATAAATGAAGACTTCTACTTTTAGGATATTTCCAAAGTTAAAACAGATGAAATGCAAATAACCTACAAACAAACAAACTCACCAAATAACAATCTAAAGCTTTTGGTCATTTCACAACATTTACCAAATACTGAACTATTAGGTTCTTCTAAGACAAGGAATATGATATCACTTTGGTCATTAAAACCAGTCTTTCTGTCAAGTAAGGCTGGAAATTTGAAAATGTACATAAAGTCAAAATACACTTAAAGCTCTTATGTACTTTGCTATGCAATTTTCATTTATATTTTTGACACATATGTAACTTATTTTGGGACTTGCCATGTAACTACCTGTAGTAGTCTTCAACTCTTAAGCTCAAGTTATCTCCTGCCTCAGCCTCCCAAGTGCTGAGCTACTGGTGTGAGCCACTGTGTATGACTTAATACTTTCAGACAGAGAGACAGCTTTATGTTTCTCTTCTACTTGTTACAAGAAATCGATGTCTAAACAGATAATTTTTTAAAAAATGGGCAAGGCTAATCATAGTGCCTCAAGGTATATGGCTGGGTGATAAAAATGTAAAAACAGAAGGAAATTATTACTAGAAAAGTTCCAAGATTTAGCTATTACAAATTGTGCTGCTATAAACATGGAAGCACATATATTGCTGTGGCATGACATTTTCAATTTTTCTGGGAAATCCAGAAGGGCAATAGCAGGATTGAATGTGACCTCCAATCCTAGTTTTCTGAGGAATCTCCACTGATTTTCAGTGGTTGCTCCAGTCTACACTCCTATCACCAGTGGAGAAGTGTTCCTTTTTCCTCACAGCTCTGCCAACATTTGTTATTGGTAGATTTCTTGATGGCTGCCATTCTTTTTGGAGTGAGATGGAAATGTATATATGTGTTGTATGCAAGATAGATAACTATACTACCAATCTCTGTTAGTTCATCAAAAAGAACAGTTTGTGCTGTCATTGTTTGATCATTTTTGTGCCAGATCTTGTAAACTGAACTACATCTAAGATAATATGCAATATATTAACTAGTGTTAACTTTGTTTTTTGAAATTCTGTATCATTTCTATCCTTTTTTCTGTTTTTTTAAAAGAAAAAAGCAAGTTTAAGATGATTAAGATTTAAGACTAGAAAGCTAAGCTTATCACTAAATTTAGGAAACCTTAAAAGAACTTAACAGAAAACTGACAGCATTCTCAGTATTGTGGGCGGGGGATTAACTTTGGTCTCAAAGTAATCAACTACTTCAGAAGCACCAAACAACTGGGCACTTGCTGTAGAAATGGGAGGTTGCTCACTCAGCATCATTTGCTACAGCCCAATTTTGACAAGGAGAAAAAAAATAAAAGGAAAAGCAAGTGCACTGAATTTGTTTTACATAAACTAAGATGTAATGTAAAGAAACTTTGCTTTGTGTGTTTGTAATATTAAAGGGACAAGAATATGCAAGACAGACCAGAAACACACAAGGCCACTGGCAGTCTGGGAGCTGGTTGTCAATACCTGCCCAGTCTCCACTCCTGCCAGAGCACTCTCCTGGAACCCACAGGAGAACACGCAGTGTACAGAACCATGGACCACGGGGGCTCTTCTTCCCATGTGAATGGAATTCTTTGTAGTCTCCCAATACTAAAAATATTTCCAGCTGGCTAGAAACAATTTCTACTACTGACTGTACTAGACAGTAGTGCTATCTACTATAAATCTAGCTCCTATAGATATAGTCTCACTTAGCAATAACTCTGTGACATGCTATTTTTTAAAGTTGGAAACTTCAGTTCTTAAATCTGCAGGGTTTTGGGAACATAATAAACATCTACTGTGGTGAGGAACAGAAGATGAATGAGAAATCTATACTTTCAATGCAATTTTTCTGTGAACCCAAAACTGCTCTTAACAAATAAACACAAAGTCTGAAATGACAGACCAGCCCCAGGGGCCAGATCTGGCCATTTACACTTTTTTTTTTTTTTTTTAAAAAACACACTCTTACTCTTTTGCTGGAAAATCAGCTTGTGATTCTCTAGACAAAAGCATAGTCTAACTGTCCAGAGTGAAGGAAGATGAGTAAAACTGCTGCTGGCAATAAAAATCTTACCTCTTTTAGGAGAATCAAAAGCTAAACCTCTGTATTGTCTGTTACGGTTTAAATCTAAAATATTCCTTGAAATTCTCATGTTCAGAGGTGGGGCCTAATTGGAAGGGGTGGAGAACTGGAGGCACAACCAGGAAGGGTGTTTTCATTCTTTTATTAATACCTATTTGCCTTAATGGTCACATCCATCATGGTAAGTATCACACCACAGAGACAGATGCATACCCATGCCCACAGCAGCACAATTTATAATAGCTAAATCTTGGAAGCGTGTATTCTTGTCCCTGGCTCCTCCCTTCTCCCTCTGCTTCCTGGCTACCATATGGTGAACAGCTTTCTTTCACC